CCCCAAATAAGCAGACAAACAAACAAACAAACAAACAAAAAACCAAACAAACAAATGAAATACAAAAACAAAAACAAAAAAGCCCGAAAGCCCTATGCTGCACTCCGACGATACATTTAGCCAACTGATTTGTTGGGGTGCGGCACTGGACGGGCTTTTTGTTTTGCTGCAATTTGTATTGTTTAGTTTGTTGTTTGTTTGTTTGTTTGTTGTTGTTTTTGTTTTGTTTTGCTGTTTTTGTTTTTTTAATTGTTTTGTTGTTGTTGCTGTTTTTGTTGCTGTTTTTGTTGTTTGTTAGTTTGGGTAGGTTGTTTGTTTTTTTTGTTTTTTGTGTGTGTGTTGTTTTTTTTTTGGGGGGGGGGGTTAACAAGAATAACAGTTTTGTCGATGAGTTGTGGACAGTGAAAATAGATACGCCTCCTGCATCTGTTACAATAGAATTCACTTAAACCGATCTCTGCACAACCTCCGGCTTTTCTTGCTCAAATTAAAGGAGAAATTTTTAAAATTCGGGAATATCATTTTCTTTGGTTTTGTGCTGTTTGCGGATTAACGGTGTTCGGTTTAAGCGGACTCCACTGGAATACAAAATTTAGTTAATTAAGTCGTGCTTATCCTAGATTGATTTCCGCAACGCACCAGCAAACAGTTGACCAACTGCTTTGTTACAGTGCAGTACTGGGCAAAGTTCATTTCTACAGACATACGAGTGGGAATCAAAAAGTAACGCAAGTTCATTTTATAACTTTAAAAAAGAGAGCACTGGCTTACGGTACCTTTAACTGCTTTTTCTCAACATAGTTTCCTTCTCGTTCAGTAGCCAGTCGAAACCGGACAGCGACTACAATTTTCTCCTTTTACCTCCTTTCCTACTCTCTGACCATGTTCTGTCTTCTACTTTCATCTCCACTCTGCCCCCACGTCTCCTCTCTTCAACCCCCTCCTCTGGGCTCCTGACTCTTTCTGCATTCTTTCTACTGCTACTCCTTGGCTCCTTCTTACTGTTGTCTTTCAGCCACACTTCTGATCTTAATATCTAACATCTGGCCTTCTCGGATAAGGACGAAAAATCTCTGAGGTTTCGTGTGCAAGTCGCTCACGTTGAAGATCCCTGGGAGGTTCCAAAAATCAATAAGAGCAGCCTTCGGCCGCCACTAGGGCAAAATTCAAAATTCCTACCAAACTGAAAAATGTTTAATGTGTCCCTTGCACCCCTATACCCTTATGCAGTTGCGAGGGCCGTAAAACACTTACCAAAAATGTATGTATGTGTGTGTGTATGTGTGAGTGTGTGTGTGTGTGTGTGCGTGTGTGTGTGTATGTTTATGTGTGCGTGTATGTTTGTGTGTGTGCGTGTGTGCGCGTGCGTGCGTGTGTTTTTGTGTGTGTGTG